TTTTGCACAATGAAGGAAACTATAAGCAAGGTGAAAAGACAGCCTTCAGAATGGGAGAAAATAATAGCAAACGAAGCAACTGACAAAGAATTAATCTTAAAAATATACAAGCAGCTCCTGCAGCTCAATTCCAGAAAAATAAACGACCCAATCAAAAAATGGGCCAAAGAACTAAATAGACATTTCTTCAAACAAGACATACAGATGGCTAATAAATACATGAAAAGATGCTCAACATCACTCATTATCAGAGAAATGCAAATCAAAACCACAGTGAGGTACCATCTCACACCAGTCAGAATGGCTGCTATCAAAAAGTCTACAAACAATAAAGGCTGGAGAGGTTGCGGAGAAAAAGGAACCCTCTTACACTGTTGGTGGGAATGCAAACTTATACAGCCGCTATGGAGAACAGTGTGGAGATTCCTTAAAAAACTGGAAATAGAACTGCCATACGACCCAGCAATCCCACTGCTGGGCATACACACCAAGGAAACCAAAACTGAAAGAGACACATGTACCCCAATGTTCATCACAGCACAGTTTACAACAGCTAGGACATGGAAGCAACCTAGATGTCCATCGGCAGACAAATAGATAAGAAAGCTGTGGTATACACAATGGAATATTACTCAGCCATTAAAAAGAATATATTTGAATCCATTCTAATGAGGTAGATGAAACTGGAGCCTATCATAGAGTGAAGTAAGTCAAAAAGAAAATCACCAATACAGTATACTATTGCATATATATGGAATTTAGAAAGATGGTAAAAATGACCCTATAGGCGAGACAGCAAAATAGACACAGATGTAAAGAACAGTCTTTTGGACTCTGTGGGAGAAGGTGGGATGATTTGACAGGGTAGCATTCAGACGTGTATATTATCATATGTGAAGCAGATCACCAGTCCAGGTTCAATGCATGAGACAGGGTGCTCAGGGCTGGTGCACTGGGATGACTCTGGGGGATGGGATGGGGACGGAGGTGGGAGGGGGGGTTCTGGATGGGGAACACATGTGCACCCGTGGCTGATTCATGTCGATGTTTGGCAAAAACCACTACAATGTTGTAAAGTAATTCGCCTCCAATTAAAATAAATTAATTAATTTTTTTAAAAAGTACTAGCTGAGATCTGGGAACTGGGGTGCAGTTTTGGAGAAAGCTATACTAATTGTGATGCACTGGGCTGGGGCAAGATTGAGTGAAAAGAGAAAGACTTCATGCAGCCATAGGTTAGCAGGAAGGCACCTGGGAGATAAAGCCTGAAAAGAGGTGTAAAGGGTACCAAGAACAAGCAGAGTTTATTCTGCAACTTTACCTGTGCCTCCCACCTTATCAACAGACTTTGGTATTTTTATTATAGGTACTTATACTGCATAGTATGCATAAGAACTCAGGCTCCAGAGTAGATCATACACACATCTAGGAAGAAGGCCTTCAACACATACTCAACTGCATCAGTAATTTGTGTAACACCTCACAGTTCACGAAGATTGAGGGAGGTATAACCTCCATTTTACAGATGAGGAAACCTTACTCAGTGTCACACTGCTAATATATGGCAGTGCTTAAACCTAAGTCTCTTGTATATCTCTACATAACTGTGTTCCTCCTATAATCAACAAGGGGCAATAAGCCAGTGATACAGGAATTAGGAATTCTGAAATAACAGTAATTTTTTAAAACAGCATATATACTATATAGTATAGTATTATAGTTAACAGGGTGTACTCTGGAACCAAATTGCCTGGGTTCAAAAACTGGCTCTACCATTTAGTAACTGTGTAAACTTGGGCAGACTTTGTCTTTTTATGCTCAATATCCTCATCTGTCAATTTTGACTACCAATAGCACCCATCTCATAGGACTGTTTAAAGATACTAATAGTATCTACCACATAAGAACATGTAAGGAACCTGAACATCACCGTGCAGACTGAAAGTGCAATATTAAGTGTTTATTATTATTATTATTGCCCGTCCTCTATTTACCATTTTATACACATTACCTCACTTAAGCCTTCCAATAACCTGTGAGGTAGTTATTATCCGTTCCATTTTATCTCTGAGGAAATTCACGCCCAGAAAAGTAATCTATCCAATCCTGAAACAAGCAAGTGACAGAATTAAACTCAAGCATAATTCTAACCACACTCTGAAATGTTGCCTCTCAACATATTTAAGCTTCTTACTCAACTACATTGGAGAAGGAAATGGCAACCCTCTCCAGTGTTCTTGCCTGGATATTTCCAGGGATGGGGGAGCCTGGTGGGCTGCTGTCTATGGGGTCACACAGGGTTGGATATGACTGAAGCAACTTAGCAGCAGCAACTCAACTACATGGACAGGAAGGTCAAAAGTACCCGTCTGTTAAGACCTAGACTCATTAGAAAAGAGCCTGATGCTGGGAAAGATTGCAGGCAGGAGGAGAAGGGAACAGAGGATGAGATGGTTGGATGGCATCACTGACTCAATGGACATGAGTTTGAGCAAGCTCTGGGAGTTGGTGATGGGCAGGGAGGCCTGGTGTGCTGCAGTCCATGAAGTCAAAAAGAGTTGGACATGACTAAGCAGCTGAACTGAACTCCAGGCTCCATTAATACACCAGCATAAAATACACTAAAGATTTTTAAGAGTCAGTTATGTACACACGGGCTTTCCTGGTGGCTCAGATGGTAAAGAATCTGCCTACAATGCAGGAGACCCAAGCTCGATCCTTGGGTGGGGAAGATCCCCTGAAGGAGGAAATGGCAACCCACTCCAGTATTCTTGCCTGGAGAATCCTATGGACAGAAGAGTCTGGTGGGCTACAATCCGCGGGATCACAAAGAGTCAGGCACGACTAACACTTTATAATCACTTTATACACACACACACACACACACACACACACACACACAAGCACTAAACTAATTATGGTTCTCAATACAGGAAATGCCCAGATGCCCCTTAAGTTAGGGTTGTGTTATGTGCTTGGTCGCTCAGGCCTGTCTGACTCTTTGCAACTCCATGGACTGTAGCCCGCCAGGCTCCTCTGCCTATGGGATTCTCCAGGCAAGAATACTGGAGTGGGTTGCCATTCCCTTCTCCAGGGGATCTTCCTGACCCAGGGATCAAACCCAGGTCTCCCAAGTTGCAGGCAGATTCTTTACCATCTGAGCCACCAGGGAAACCATTATCTTAGCACCTGAACAAATGCCAGTAACCTGCAAAGTGACTCAGAGAGTTTTAAGAAGTGGCTGTTCCACCTGTTAGCTGGGATCCCATCATCTCCCTCCTGGTGGCTGACACTTCACCCCTAGGCTTTGCCTTGGCTGAAGCAAAGCAAAGAAGGAACTGATTCTCAAGCTTTCCCACTGCCCCAGGTGGATGATCCAGGAAACTAACCGGGGGCGGGGGAGCGGGGGAGGCGGGCCAAAGCTGTTTTTTCACTGGCAGAGAGATTAAAGGCAGCTGGGGCTCGGCCTCCTATTCCGGAACCTTCATCTACCTGTCGAGCCAATTGCTTAGGTCTCCCTTATGCCACATCGTTTCCTAAGTACCATTAACAGGACCTTAGGTTTCTGTGAGCCAACGCGGGCAAATCTCTGGGTTCAACGCTTGAATTAGCATTGAGGTTGGATTACCTCACAAAAAAGCAAAGTAACCCTGACTAAAAGAAAATAGGAAGTGCCATGTCAAGCTCTCTGAGCCACCTAAACAGCCCAGGAGGACCACCGTGTTTCTGACACCTGGGCGCCAGGGAATACCGCTTAACCGCTGGCAGCTCAGAGCGACTGTCCCTCCCTCCTCGGCGCCCCCGCCCAAGCTGCCAGATATCCCGGCAGGTCAGCCGAAGGGCAACCGCCGTTCGCGCGGCCCCAGTCATCCCTCAAGTTGAAGGGAACGAAGTCCCAGCAATCCCACCCCTCCAAAGCTCCACGACTCCGACGACTCCAGCTCCCACGCCACGAACTTAGTTCCCGCCCGAGGTAGGTAGGTCTGTAGTCCCAACGGCGAGGGTCAGGACCGTAGCAGGAGACCGGGAGAGAGAGGGGAGCAGCAGATCAGGGGTTCGAGCGACCCCAAGAAGGGACGAAGGAGAACTGTGAGGGGCCGGGTCGTACCTGTCGAGCCGAGACCCGCCGCTCCGAGTGACGCGCCTCGCAGTGCACTCTGGGGCCGGGGAGTGGCCTCTCCGCGGGGCAGCCCCGCGTGCAACGTGGCTGGCACCCAGCGGGATCAAGCCCCGCCCCCGTTCCATCTTGCTCAGGCCAATCAGGTTCCGGGGGAAGAACACACTTACCCGCCCGCTCCAGGGGAGATTGACAGCTTTTCATGCTTCTACGCCAAGAGAGTGGCAAGTCCTGTATTGACTGATTATACTGTCCCTCGCACATAAGGCTGATCTCCCGTCTGCTGCCTGTACCTGCAGGTTGTTTGTTTCTTATGCGGCCCTGCAGGAAGCACTTATCGAAGGAGCATGAAAGCCCCCCTCTGAGTGAACAAGAAAAGGACCTGTCCCATTATTACCACTCCGGGGAAGGCATCCAACCTTGACAAAGAAATGCCAGATGCTGTTCCTGCAGTCCATCCCAGCTTTTGCATCGGTCATGCATTATTAAACAAGTACTTACTGACTACATACTATGTGCCAAGCACAGTGTTAGGCATTGGGTTATAGGAGTGAATGTAACATTCAGTGGATCTAATGTGTGATAGGAGCAAGAGATGTTAAAGCGTAACATTACGTAATTATAAATTGTGATCAGTTCTATGAAGGAAAATTAGGGAGTGCAACGACAGATTAATCAGGACTATGGGGGCAGAGCTCTTTGAAGAAGTGCCTTTGAAGCTCCAGGCACATGAAAGAGCCTTTAAGAATGTTGCAGGCATAGGGAATATTATGTTTGAGATTGTTGGGGCATGAAAGAATTTCATGTGTTCTAGGAACATGTCACTGAAAGGAAGTAAATGGGTTTGAGGTGTAGGAGCAAACAAGTTGAAATGAATCAGAGGCCAGACTATGCAGGCTCTTCCTGGCCACATTATAAGTTTTAGACTGTATTTTGGAATGTATCTTAAGGTCATTGGGCAGCTAATAGAGTGTTAAGTAGGGTCAGATTTACATATTTATTAATAAACTCTCACTTAGGCTGTTTGTGGGGAATAGTTTGAAAGAGGAGAGAAGGGCTTATTGGAAGTCCAGTTTGGAGGCAGTTACATTAGTCAAGGCCAGAGATGACGGTGGCTTGAACTAGGGTAATGACACTAGAGACACAAAGATTTGGATAATTTGAAATATTTATTTATAAATTAGCAGTGGAATCCAAAGGATGTAATAATGAATTGGTTTGCCTAGGATGATAAAGAAAAGAGGAGCATTAAGGATGACTCCATAACTTACTAGATGAATTAAGAACCCATTTACTGACTCAGGGAAACTAGAAGGAGGAGTAAATGGTCTTGGACTTATTAAGTTGGACATGCTTGTATATGGAGATGTCAAATAAATTTGGAGATGTAAGTCTGAAGTCCATAAGCAATGTCTGAACTAATTATATAAATTTGCTGGTTGTTGGAGTGGGTTAACCAAGCAGTTCCACTCCTAGATATATATGCAACAGAATTGTATTCATATGTTTACCATAAACATATATAAAAATATACCACATATATAAGAATTCTCATAGAATAAATAAACTTTAGAATATTCACATAGTAGAACAGTATACAGGAAAGAGAATGAACAATCAACAACTACATACAAAACATGGATGAATCTCACAACTGTAAAACTGACTGATATAAGCCAGACACAGAAACTGTATACTACTTGATTCTACTTATATAATATTCAAATAGAGACAAAAATAATATTTGGTAATAGAAGTTAGACTGTTGGTTACCCTTAGGTGGCATTAAGATTTGGAAAGGGCCCCTAGAGGGCTTCTGGGGTTCTAGAAATGTTTGCTCTGGATGTTAATTACACTAGTGTGTTTGATTAGTGAAAATTCATGAGGTTGGGAATTCCATGGCAATCTAGTGGGAACTCTCCCTGCTTCTACTGCAGGGGGTACAGGTTCAATCCCTGATCAAGAAACTAAGATCCTGCGTGCTACAGAGAAAGCAAAAAAAAAAAAAAGAAAATTTGTCAAATTGTACACTTAAGATATGCAATTTTTAGTATGCATCTTATTATTCAATAGAAATTTTATATTTTTAAAGTGTTATGGTGATCCAGCCATAAATAAGTGACTGGTACCAAACTAAACTAACTTTCCTACCACAAACAATAGAAAACTGAACCAAATCTATGAGACAAGTGTCTTCAGACATTGGACAGTAGGCACAGTAGAACTGTGATCCTAGAAAGAAGGAAAGCAAATAAGATGAGCCCAAATATGTCCCCAGATTTTCTTTCTGGTGGTATTTTCCAAAGCACAGGATTGAAGAAAGCTAAGCAGAATACAGTACTCTCTCTAACTGAGGAGAGTGAAATTTGAATTATGAGAGATGGAGGCAACTGAAATTTGCAGGGCAGAGAACCAGATTAAGAGTTTCAGAAATATACATGAGTCTCCTTGAATCTTTGGCATAGCTTTAATGAGACTCCAGGAGACTGGTTAAATAATAACCACTGTGGGAACTACAAGCTGAACAACTACTAGATCTTAAATAAAATTTGGAAACATTGAAGTTCTGACCAACTAGAATGGAAAAACCTTATTAAACAAATAGGGCATTTGGTAAGAAAACCTCAGAAAGGCCACAGTTTAGAGATAAGGCTAAATTAGCCCAGGAGTAAAAGCTATTCTAGACTCACTCAAACAAAACAGAAAACTTACCTGCAAGTAAATTAAGTGCTTCATTGAATGAAACTTAATAATCTTTAAGGACAGCAAAATCCAGACACTAAACAATGTAGCACCCATAATATCCAGTATCCAAAGGTCTGTTTTCATTCCAATCCCAAAGAAAGGCAATGCCAAAGAATCCCAAACTACCGCACAATTGCACTCATCTCAAGTGCTAGCAAAGTAATGCTCAAAATTCTCCAAGCCAGATTTCAGCAATACATGAACCGTGAACTTCCACATGTTCAAGCTGGTTTTAGAAAAGGCAGAGGAACCAGAGATCAAATTGCCAACATCTGCTGGATCATCAGAAAAGTAAGAGAGTTCCAGAAAAACATCTATTTCTGCTTTATTGACTATGCCAAAGCCTTTGACAGTGTGGCTCACAATAAACTGTGGAAAATTCTGAAGGAGATGGGAATACCAGACCACCTGACCAGCCTCTAGATAAATCTGTATGCAGTTAGAACTGGACATGGAACAACAGACTGGTTCCAAATAGGAAAAGGAATATGTCAAGGCTGTATATTGTCACCCTACTTATTTAACTTACATGCAGAGTACATCATGAGAAACGCCAGGCTGGATGAAGCACAAGCTGGAATCAAGATTGCTGGGAGAAATATCAATAACCTCAGATATGAAGGTGACACCACCCTTATGGCAGAAAGTGAAGAAGAACTAAAGAGCCTCTTCATGAAAGTGAAAGAAGAGAGTGAAAAAGTTGGCTTAAAGCTCAACATTCAGAAAACTAAGATCATGGCATCCAGTCCCATCACTTCATGGCAAATACATGGGGAAACAGCAGAAACAGTGACAGACTTTATTTTATTGGACTCCAAAATCACTGCAGATGGTGATTGCAGCCATGAAATTAAAAGATGCTTGCTCCTTGGAAGAAAAGCTATGAGCAACCTAGACAGCATATTAAAAAGCAGGGACATTACTTTGCCAATAAAGGTCCATCTAGTCAAAGTTATGGTTTTTTCAATGGTAATGTATGGATGTGAGAGCTGGACTATAAAGAAAGCTGAGCACCGAAGAATTGATGCTTTTGACCTATGGTGTTGGAGAAGACTGTTGAGAGTCCCTTGGACTGCAAAGAGATCCAACCAGTCCATCCTAAAGGAGATCAGTTCTGAGTGTTCATTTGAAGGACTGATGTTGAAGCTGAAACTCCAATACTTTGGCCACCTGATGCGAAGAACTGACTCATTTGAAAAGACCCTAATGCTGGGAAAGATTGAAGACAGGAGGAAAAGGGGACAACACAGGATGAGATGGTTGAATGGCATCACTGACTCAATGGACATCAGTTTGGGTAAACTCCAGGAGTTGGTGATGCATAGGGAAGTCTGATGTGCTGCAGTCCATGGGGTCTCAAAGAGTCAGACACGACTGAACTGAACTGAACTATATGAAGAAGCAGGAAAATGTGAGTCATAAACAGGAGAAAAATTAGTCAATGGACCCAGAAATGACAATAATAATGAATTTATCAGAGGACTTAAAACAGCTGTTAAAAATGTAGCCAGGAATTTAAAGGAAAACACAAGAAATGAAAACTATAAAAATAACCAAATAGAACTTTTAGGGCAGAAAAATACAGTATCCAAAATAAAAACTTCACTGGATGGCCTTAAAAACAGCTTAGTTATACAGAAAAAAAGATCTGTGAATGAGAAAATAGTACAAAAAGAATTATCTATACCAGAGCACAAAGAGAATAAAAGTTGAAAAGAAAATGAAAAGAGACTTAGTGACCTACAGGACAATACCAAGTTACCTAGCATGTATAATCAGAGACCCAGAAAGAGAGGAGAGGTGATTTTAAAATATTTGAAGAAATAACAGCCAAACTTTTCTAAATTTAATGAAAAATAGAAATCCACAGTATCAAGAAATCAAACCAACCCTAAGGAGGATAAGCACAAAGAATCCTCATCAAATCACATTACACAAAACTGCTGAAAAATAAATAATTAAAAGAAAATATTAGAAACAACCACAGAAAAAGCCACATTGTATACAGAGAAAAAGATTAGAATTACTACTATGAATCAGAGAGACTGTAAGCCACAATTTTTTTTAATTTACTTATTTTTAATTGGAGGGTAATTGTTTTACAATGTTGTGTTGGTATCTACCATACATCAACATGAATCAGCCATAGGTATACATATGTCCCCTCCCTCTTTAATCTCCCTCCCACCTACCCCGTCATCCCACCCCTGTAGTTTGTCACAGAGCCCCAGGTTGAGCTTCCTATGTTATAAACCAAATTCCTACTGTCTATATATTTTACATATGGTAATGTATATGTTTCAATGCTATGCTCTCAATTCACCCCATTCTCTCCTTGCTCAACTGTGTCCACAAGTCTGTCCTCTATTGCCTGTATCTCTATTGCTGCCCTACATATAGGTTCATCAGTACCATTTTTCTAGATTCCATACATATGTGTTAATATACAATATTTGTTTTTCTCTTTCTGACTTACTTCACTCTGTATGACAGGCTCTAGGTTCACCCACCTCACTAGAACTGACTCAGATTTGTTCCTTTTTATGGCTGAGTAATATCCCATTGTATATATATTATATATATGTGTGTGTGAGTCTGTCTGTCTTCTTTATCTGTTCATCTGTTGATGGACATCTAGGTTGCTTCCATATCCTGGCTATCGTAAATAGTGCTGCAGTGAACACTGGGGTGCATGTGTCTTTTAGAATTGTGGTTTTCTCGGGGTATATGCCCAGTAGTAGGAATGCTGGGTGGTATGGTAGTTTCATTCTCAGCTTTTAGAGAAATCGCCATACTGTTCTCCATAGTGGCTGTATTTATACTCCCACCAACAGTGCAAGAGGGTTCCCTTTTTTCTACATCCTCTCCAGGATTTGTTTGTAGATTTTTTGATGATGGACATACTGACTGGTGTGAGGTGCTATCTCATTGTAGTTTTGATTTGCATTTCTCTATTCATAATAAGTGATGTTGAGCACTTTTTAATGTTTATTAGCCATCTGTATGTCTTCTTGGAGAAATGTCTGTTTAGGTCTTCTGCCCATTTTTTGATTGGGTTGTTTGTTTTTCTGATATTGAGTTGCCTGAGTTGCTTGTAATTTTGGAGATTAATCCTTTATCAGTTGCTTCATTTGCAATTATTTTCTCCCATTCTGAGGGCTGTCTTTTCATCTTGTTTATGGTTTCCTTTGCTGTGAAAAAAAACCTTTAAGTTTAATTAGATTCCCTTTGTTTTTATTTCCATTATTCTAGGAGGTGGGTTATAGAGGATCTTGCTGTGATTTATGTCTAGAGTGTTCTGCCTATATTTCCCTTTAAGAGTTTTAGAGTTTTTGGTCTTACATTTAGGTCTTTAATCCATTTTGAGTTTATCTTTGTGTATGATGTTAGGATGTGTACTAATTTCATTCTTTTACACATAACTGTCCAATTTTCCCAGCACCGCTTACTGAACAGACTACTTTTTCTCATATATTCTTGCCTCCTTCATCAAAGGTAAGATGTCTATAGGTACTTGGGTTTAACCTCTGGTCTTTCTAACTTGTTACATTTGTCTATATTTCTGTTTTTGTGCCACTACCACACTGTCTTGATGACTGTAATGTAAGCCAAAATTTAATGTAATAAATTTTGAAAGAAAAACCTCTGTCCATCTAGAACTTTATATCCAGTAAAATTTCTTTCGAAGTATGAAGGTGAAATAATGGCAAACAACAGCAGGATGTACATTCTTTTTGAGTACACATGCACTATTCACTAAGCTATACCATACTCTGGGTCATAAAAATAAATTTTTAAATATTAGTGGAGCAAAAGAAGCCAAATACTAAAAAGTACATTCTTTCCATTTAAATGAGGGTCTAAACAAATAAAAGTAATATATAGTGAAAAGAAAATCAGAAAAATGCTTGCCTCTAGTGGTTGGGTTGACTAGAAAGCTATATGCGGAACATTTTTAGGGTGGTGATAAGATTCTGTTATCTTGATAGGAATTTGGTTTTCACAGGCCTATGAATTATTCAGAACTCACTAAATGGTACACTTAAGATTTTTGCATCTCATTGCATGTAAATTTACCTCCAAAGAAAAAAGCAGCATATAAATATTGAAGTCTAACTAGCAATCTGAAATTATTTTTGTCTTTCCTAGGCTTGAACAAAGAAATCAATACACTGAGAAGGATGGAAGGCAGGTCACTCAAGTCAAGAAAGGGAGTTAAAAATAAGGAGTTATCTAACGTTACTTAAAAATAATGGAGTTACCTAAAAATAAGAGAACAAAATGCTATTTCCACTAAAAGGGACCAGAAGTCTTTGGGGAAAAGGTTGATCACTGGCCTACGTCACAGAAAGAACAATAGGCACCTGGATCACATTGTGCCGGAAAACAAAGAAGTGTCAAAGAATCACAGAGACGTATCCAAGATATAGGAGCCAGCTTGAAGGATTTCCTCTGATCCGAAGTGGGACAATATCATAGTCTCAAACTAAGCAATAGTTGTCATTTTTTATATAATTCCCCTTGAATAGAATAAATATCAGTGAAACAAATAATCTGTGAGTCTATGTGCTTAGTCATGTCTGACTCTTTGTGACCTGATGCACTGTAGCTCGCCAGCCTCCTCTCTCCATGGGGATTCTCCAGGCAAGAATATCGTAGTGGGTTGCCATACCCTCCTCCAGGGGATCATCCCAACCCAGGGGTTGAATGCAGGTCTCCAACACTGCAGGTGGATTCTTTACCAACTGAGCCACCAGGGAACCTCAAGAATACTGCTGTGGGTAGCCTATCCCTCCTCCAGGGGATCATCCTGACCCAAGAGTCAAAACAGGGTCTCCTGCATTGCAGGCAGATTCTTTACCAGCTAAGCTACCAGGGAAGTCCGTGAGTCCACACTGATATAAATTTAAATCATAGATGATAGATATAGATAAATGAGGAAGGAAAGCTTTTCCTTACAGTAAATGCCACGTAACAAATACAGAAAGAATGATAGACTTAGAAAATTATTAATGGATGCCAATCCCAATCTAAGTAGACAGAAGCATAATGAGGAACAAGATATTTATATATCTTAAAACATCTCCCCAAATTGCCCACTAAACAATGGGAAAACCAAGAATTTTATGATGGAGAAACCTGGCAGATGCCACCAAATCACCAAGTGACTTTATATGCTTGCTTCCTAATGTGATGCACTGAAAAGGACACTGTCAGAAAGTGAGTTCTTTGGAGCCAGTTTGAAGTGTAAGATGTGTATTAGCAATTAACACCTATGAAGGAAAACAGAGTGGAGATGGGATTAAGAGTTTACACTACAATTCAGACCTAAGAAATCCTCTTCCGATCCAATGGTTAGCTCTGGAGTGAGTGTTGCTTATCAGAGCATCCTATGTGGGCCAAAATGACCACTTTTATAGTCCCACCTTGTTCAGGAACCAGAAGCAGGCTGCCCTGGGAAGGGTGTTACCCCAGATGAGGCCATGCTCTTGTAGCTGATGCGGACGCTGAAGGGTCTTCACTCACTAAAGATGGGAAGCATTTTCTTCACTGGTGGGGTGGGGAGAGGGGAGATCTAGGCATCTTAGCTCTGCATCTATCACAGTCAACACCTTGTTGTCAACCAACCCACTTCTCCAGGATATGATGGATCTCTTTCAGAGGGCAAACTTAGAGGAAGGAAGGAAGGGAGACAAACTACAACTGATACATCACATCACCACCCCCTCTCCACTTTTCCTTCTAATTGTCCTTATCTTCAATTTCCAACTCTGCTGGCCTCAGTGCCTTAACAGTGGCATGACCCCGATTCTCATCTCCTGGTCATCGTGCCCTGCTCCAGCCGTGGTTTTACAATGGGCAGTGCAGTACTCTGAGGCTCCCAGGTGGGAAGCCTCCATTCCACACATGTTCGTCCCTGCCTCAGTTGTGTAAAAAGGAGCCCATCCTCCTCCTGACGCTCTGTGATCCCTGACAAGACAGTGACCCTCTTCTTGCCTGGTCCCTGAACACAGGAATTCGAAGCACTCAGGGAGCAGCCATAGTTCATAATCCCCTAGGACTCTTGTAATCACCTGCCAAACATGTGGAGACCAAAAACTCAAACCTCTCAGAGCCCAGGGTTATGGAGACAAGAAATAGGAGGTCCCTTGATGAGTCATTAAGAGTCATAATAAGAGATGCCAATCTGCTTCTACCCCTTCATACCCAGACTTGTGTATTGTCCCTACTAGGGATACAAGGAATTATGGTAGTTATGATCAGGAATCATGAGTTTTTTGTGGGATGAGTACAATCAACCTCCCAGTTTTCTGTTGGTGAAAGCTGAGTAGTATTTAGTCAGCTGCCCATCTATTTTGCCCCAGTGAAGGCCACATTCTATTAACCATTTTTTATAATTCTTTGCTGGAGAAGGCAATGGCACCCCACTCCAGTACTCTTGCCTGGAACATCCCATGGACAGAGGAGCCTGGTGGGCTGCCGTTTATGGGGTCGCACAGAGTAGGAAACGACTGAAGTGACTTAGCAGGAGCAGCAGCAGCAGCATAATTCTTTGCAGTCAGGCCAGCAGCCTGCCACTCTAGCTTTGCAGACCATTATAGTCATCACGGTCTCACCCTGGCATTTGGCTATTAAACATCAACACTTGGCCTCTGTTTGCTCAGGGTCTTGTAGTATCAGGGAACCAAATTCTATTATGACTTCTGCTGCCATCAACCCTGGCTGACAGACAGAGATCTGCTGAACCTCTGAACAGTGCCCCACAGCTCATTCCTCTGGGCCTTTCCAAGAACATATCATCTGGCAACTCTTGCAGTCACACATAGTGTAACCATTCCAGTGTGCTCACTTCCGCTTTCCATTCCATCCTCTCCTGCCATTCTGGTGTTTCAACTGCCCCGTGTGAACCACACTTGAAGGAGCCATCCCAGGGCTGAATGCTCACCTCCTGGCATCCTGGGCTCTTGCTGTGTGTGAAATCCTGAATCTCAGGAAAGTACTCCCAAGTCTAACTCTCCTCTATCCAATTTTATACTCTGACCCCTTAGATTAAGCAGCCTTAGAACCCAGTCACACATGAACTGCCCCGCTCCTTCTGATAACTGTTGGCTGGATCTTGCAGCTCCCTTGGTGTATGGCTCCTTTCCTTCCTTCCTAGGTTCACCATGTCCTCAGCTGGGCTACACCTTCACTGAAGCCTCTTCATAGGCCTGGTGACCAATAGGATAGGCCCAAGAGCACATGCTGCCTTTGAGGGTCAGTTAGCAACTCATAGTGTGGAGGGTTGGCGCACAGCCACTTACGCAGGCTCAAAAGGTTCAGAAGAGACAGGAGTGGGATAGGGCTGCAAAAACTTTGGGGTCCTCTACACATATGACCCTGTGTGCTATTTCCCAACCAGTGTTTCCTGACCAGGAATCTGACCTTGGCAAAGCAGTCCTGCCTTTATTGGCTTTTAACTTCTTAAACACTTGGCTTTCTCCTGGGCTTTCTCTGCAGTCCTGTTAGAGATGAGATTTTTCTCTTTTTATGTATGTAGTCAAAGTGGTCCTCTAACTTTCATACCTGGTTTTCAATTGCCTGTTATTCAACTTTAGCTGTATATTATATTTCTATGTAGAACCTCAATGGCAATCAGCAAGAGTCATCCAATGCACTACCCTCATAGTTTTTCTTCTCTCCATATATCTTGAATGTCTCATACATTGTACCTGCTCATATATATTCCCTTCCACCTATATACCTCTCAACTTACCACTGCTAAAGACTTTAACAAGTGGTACTGCCAAATTTTCCATCTATTAATATCCCCAGCCAGGTGGTAAATGATTCCATTTCAAACACTCTTTATTATTGCCTTTTTTTTTCATTATCCCATTTCTGTTATCATCATGGGTTGGGTTCTTTGAAAGTAGGCACTAAGTAGAGTTTGGGGTATGAAATGTTTATTAGGGACCAACACCTGTGAAGGGAAGAGAAGGAAACAGTATTGGCAGAGGAATAAGTTGAACTGTGATGCAAATCTAACAAAGGAGTGCTCAGTCAGTTTAGCAGGAGTTCTGGAACAAGTACCACCTATTATAGTGTCCTGTGTCAGATCAGATGGCCAGGCTTTGATATCCTTGCCTCACAAGTCACCATATGTGGACTTCTCGAGATGGACATGACATCACACAAGATTGCTCTCTGAAACGGAGGCTGACAATAGAGCATCTATTGGCTAGAGCCTATCTTCTGATCACTCTCCCTGCAGGTACATGAGAAGTCCTCTTGTCTTACTATATCCTCATATAGTAAGAGAGTAAGCTCTGGTGTCTATTTCTTTTCTTATAAGGATAATAATCCCACCATAGGAGCACCACTCTCATGACTTTAACTAAACCTAAATGCATCATCTCCTAATACCATCACACGTGGGGTAGGTCTTCAACAAAGGGAAACAAACATTTAGTCCATAAAATTCAACAAGTCCTCCCTTGAGGCAGATTCTGGCAGGGAGTCCCTGTGTCTACAGCTGACACACAGATTTTCTGCGGGATGCTTACCAAAAGTGCAACACGTGAAAATAATCATATGGAAACATCAAAACCAAATTAAAGGACATTGTTCGTAGCAACTGGCCCATGCACTTCAAAAAATCTCAATGTCTTGAAAGGCTGAGACTATTTTCCAGTTTCAAGGAAACTAAAGAAACATGACAACTAAATGCAATATATGATTCTAAATTAGATTCTGGACTGTGGGAAGAAATAGCCATGAAGAACATTATTTGAACAACCAATAATATTTGAATATGGAGAATGGATTAGATAGTATCAATAGTACTGTATCAATACTAAATGTACCAATTTTAACCATTTTCATTTTACTTAACTTTAGTTAAATTTAAGTTTCTATTTTAAAATTGAAGCAATGTAGAGCTTTAAAATTTATATGCACTGAAATCATAGTATGCTAATATGTGAGTTAAAATACATTATCATAGTTAATTTCACTTTTCTTTTCCTTAAATATGGCTACTAAATATTTAAAATTATGTCTTGCATTCTATTTCTATTGGATAGCACTGTTGGATTCCATTACTTTTTCATAGTATAGAAATCAAGATTATCTCTAGTACTGTCATCATCACATATTTTTAAACATTTTACATGCCCTAGTTTGAGACTGCTCTATTGCTTTATGAGCCAGTTCTATGGAAGGCCTGGGTTCTTTTTTTTTTTAAACTGTTCATGAGGGACAGAAAAACAGTGCTGACCCTCTATGCAGCCAGCCATCTAAGGGAGTCCCTCATACCTCAAGGCTCCAGGTAGACCTGGTGGGGAAGGAAGTGAAGATTTGCATTTGGAGGTAGTGTGTCGGAGTCTTACATGGCAGCACTGCAGACCTAGGAATAAAGAACTGCAGGACAGAAGGGCTAGGGAAGCCAGAGGGCAAGGATTGCCCAGCATTGCAGTTGTGTAGTAGCTTTGCCACTATGACATCATTTCTTTGCCACTAACACTGCACATCAAAAGCCATCCTTAACGCACAT